CTACAGGACAAAATAGAACTGCCCCCAAAGGATTCCAAGGCTGTAAATCTTTAAGGAAGCAGATTGCCTCATCTTTTTCCCATGTAAAAGCTGGTGGGTTCAAACCGCCAACCTTTTAGTTAGCAGCTGAATGCTTTAACCACTATACCGCCAGAGTTCCTAATCAATGTAAAAAGAATTGCAAAATTAGAAAAATCACCATTTTGCAACAATCAATGAAATTACTGATCTAGGCGAAGATCATCAACAGAGCTAACACCAGATGAAAGGTTTCTAGACAAGTAAAATAGCATGGTGCCAAAGCGTCACCACCCTACAGATTACTGGTTAATCACAAAGAAAAAGAAATGGTTCACAATGGAGAGACTTGATATTTACCACCTTAAGGAATGATCAAACAAACTCAGCATCACTGACATTGGGACACTATGACACATGGCTCTTCTTCTGTGATGCAATCAATATGAGGCACACAGTAACACTATGAAGTATTCTTACCAATAATCTTCAACCTAAATCTAATCAAATCTTAACTGCCAGATTACAAAAAATACTGGGATAAAGGCACAAATTAAATACCATGAGGAAACAAGAAGAAAACTCCACAAGTAATATATTCTCAAGATAAGAGCCCTGGTCTTTTTAAAAAGCCAGTATCACATGGCTTCTAAATAAACTGGTATAGATTTTAAAAACATAACAAATATAATATCTGACCCTTGGCTGAATCCTGGTGTGGAGAAAAAAAATACAAACAGATGAAAAAGTCATCTTTGTGAGAACCGAAGATACTTGAACATGAACTAGTTATTAGATGATATTAGAACATTACCGTTAATTTTCTTAACAATGATAATGTATTATAGGAACAAGTAAAACAGTTTATTTTAAGGCAATACATCTAACATTTAAGAGTGAAGTGTTATGACATCTGTAATATAAAAATGTACATACGTTTCTCTATATACATATTACACACGACCACATAGATAACCAAATGTGATAAAATGTGAACAACTGTTGACTCTAATGGGTATAAAGGTGATAACTGCAGTATTCTTTCCATTTTTCTGTATGTTTAAAATTTGTCACTTAAACCATTGATTACAAAAAAAAAAAATTGGTTCAAACTGTACTTCCTCCAGGAAGGCCTCCCAAATGAAACACTCCTCTAAACCTTGTTGCTGTTATTAGCTTCTGTCCAGTTGGTCCCTATGCATGGTATCCCCCATGCACAATGGAACAAAACAGGAGCGAACTAGTGTGATCCATAGGGTTTTCAGTGGTTGATTTTTCAGAAATAGATCACCAGTCCTTCTCAGTCCACCTCAGTCCGGAAGCTACATGGAAAGCCGTCCAGCATCATGGTAACACACAACAAGCCTCTACTGAGAACAGGCAGTAGCTCTGAATGAGGTGCAGTAGCCAAACTGAAGCGAGGTCTGCTGTATGAGAGAGAGACGATAATTCTACCACTGGGCCACCAATGCCTCCCTCTAAACCTTAGTAATAAGTCCTTTAATCAAGTTCTCTGAGCCTGGAACACTAGGTTACTGTTGTCACTGTTTTCTAACTGTTCTCTCATTGTTTCATACACTCAGTAGATTTGGTTTTCCAACAAGATTATAAACTCCTTGAGGTACAGTCATCTTTTAATTCTTTTCTATTTCTTCACAGCTCAGAGTGAAGTGTTCTACAGTCAGTAAACTTTTAAAAAGTGCTAGTACCAATACTTTGGCCAAAGAAGGAACTGGGCAGAGTACTGAACCAGCTGAGTTAACTTTTCAATTCAACACTCTCAAAAGAAGGACAGTTCACTTGCATAAACAATTCTATGTCACAGTAATCAAAAGGAGATCATAAAGCATCACTTACAGTCTTAAATAATTTCACACAGAGAAACGATATCTAAGAGTTGGAGGAAAAAATTGGAGTATAGGTTCTATATGTCTTCCTAGCACTGTATGGAATTGCTGTTATCTAGGCACATGACTTTATTCTCAAGATATTATCCTTCACACCAACAATACCCCTCACCCCCATCTGCCAACTGTGACAGTATTTAACCAGAACTCCTCGATGTAATGAAGCTTAATAAGCTACATAACAAACTTTAAAATCTTAGATAAAAGATTGCATAAAGATCAAAGATTTGATAACAGTGTTGGTGAGGAAACCAGCAGCACTCTTACACTACTGGCAGGAATGTAAATTGGCACAACCTCTCTGAAAGGCCATTTAGCAATATCCAGCAACAGTAAAAATGCACACACCCTGAGTCAGTACTTCCACTAGAAATTAATCCAACAGACACTCCTTCATAAGAAGAACATACAAGGAATTAAGTACATACCAAAATGTCAATAATACAGTAGAATAATGGTACACCCACACAATGGAATACTTGTCATCTTTCAAAAAGAAGGAACTATATGTACTATAGGTATGGAATGATCACCAAGAAACAGTAAGAAAAAGCAGCAAAGTGCAGAATAATGGGCATAGTGTCTTACCATTTTTGTAAAACAAATGAATAAAATCCACCAAAGAATAAAAGGTGTATATGCTTGTATAAGCACAGACTATCTCTGGAAGGACTGACAAGACACAGGTTACAGTGGTCACTTTGGGAGAAGGTAACTAGATGGGTGAAAGGGGGATGGTAGAAGAGACTTTTCACTTCCTCTCACTGTATACCTTTTGAATTTCCGTTCATATATATGTGCATGTGTTACTCACCCTAAAGAGAGGTTTAAAATAAATAAATAAAAAGCTTTGCACCAATATAAATTATTTATCCATACTCTTCTTAATCCTAGAAGCATTTCATGCTTATGTACCATAAACATTTTAAATGAGTCTTTGGTATATTCAACCAGATGATGAGAACAAAGCATCCCAAATGACAGACGCTTACTGAGAAGATGAACATTTATTACCTCAGTTTCACTTCAAGATTTCACCAGAACCTGACAGAAGTGTGGAAAAGGCAGCATTAAGCATCTCCAAGTATCAAACTAGCCACTCTGAAGAGCTCTGAAAGAAGTCACCCAACTACCAAATGGACACTAACCACCCCAACTCTAAGTGTGAGGCTATCACAGTAACTTATACTCCTCAGTCTTTGCACAAGGTTTTTTTTTTTTTTTTTTTAAAAAAAAGATGTGCTTCCAGCTCTTTACCAGGACACAGGATGATGTATGTACCCCAAATTCCTGTGCTTCCTATGCATCATCTCTTGGATCCAACTGTAACCATGGCAACAAAAAGCAGCACAAAAGAAAGCGGAACCAAGCAAAAGGCCAGGTTAAATTGGGAGGTGAAAAATATCTATATACTTTAAGGTCCAGGAACATAAGGTCCTTGAGATAAGAACACAAACAAAACTCACTGCCACTGAGTCGGATCCGACTCACAGCCACCCCTCCTTGGGTTTCCAAGGAGGTATCACTACGGAAGTAGATTGCCCAACCTTCCTTCCGAGGAGTGGCTGGTGGGTCTGAACCGCCAGCCTTCTGGTTAGCAGTATAAGAACAGCACCCAAAATATTCTTGAGAAGGGTATCGAAGAAAACAGAATACAAAGGAAAGAGAATAGAAAATAAGGCCTACTGATATGTCCCATATTAGTTATCTAGATAGGAGACACAGTTGGCAGAGATAACTGAAAAACAAAGAAATGCCCTCCACCTCAAACAACTTAGCTATTCATTTCAATGCTAGACAGCAAGACTTTTGCTAGTAAGAGTTTATCTTTTCCCCCATCCTGTTCAGATGGCACAGGTAAGAAGCAGAAAAGTATCTAAAAGAGTGGCAGCACAGAAGCAAATTAAAGGACTGTGTATAAGCTTCCAAATGAAAACCAGTTTCTAGATCACTGAAATACTGTTGTACTTTAAAGTTCCTTGTTTTCGATTTCTTTTCATCAGCCAATGTGAAAGAACCGTCAGTCTCATTACTTAAAACCTCCGCTGGATGAGTGATCGTCCTCCAAGAGTCTCAGATTGCTTTTGTTTTCATGTGTTTACAAACCATCAATAATGCACAGCTAAAATGAAAGCGCTAAGGAAGATCTTTTACCAAAAAAAAGGTAAATGGGTCACACACGCAAATTAGCAGGACTGGCAGATGAGAAACTTTATGTCTTAATTTGCAGTAACCACCCTAAAACATATACTGCGCTCTTTAACTCAACCTTATCTTATTCATTACTGAAAAGGAAATCCCCTTTCTTATGATCTTTAGTACTCTTTACAAAGGTTATCAAAAGTCCCGGCCAGAATTAAATGAGTTGAAATACCTACTCCTCAATTTAGGAGAGGTGTGTACTCTGCGTACAACATAACGATGGGAATAAGGGAAAGGAATCCTAGAATTAGAAGTTGCAGTGACAGTTTCAAAAGAAGGGTCAGCGTGGGACACTTTGGCTTTGGGAAGTGTTTATAAGCTGAGAATCTCGGGGGCAACACTAGATGCAAATAGTGCTTTGTCCATAAATCCCTCAAATACTTTAAATTCTGTCTGGATAGGAGCAACAGGCTTACTATTTGGCAGCAAGCCTAGCCCACTGGCTGGGAAGGGGGGGGCGCGTGGCCAAGGAGCTCTTTATCCCGCAGGTCCCTGCAACACAACGATGCGCATGCGCCCCCGGGGCAGCGAACACGCACCCCTAGCTCGTTCCCTAGCGCATGCGCAGTCAGCCATCTCGCCGCAGGCGACAGCTCACTATTTGGCAAGGGGGATGGGGCTGGGAAAATGATTGGGGGGGCGGGCTGAAGGCAGGGGGCGCATTTGTGTCTCCTAAATGTTTGAGATTGGGAGAAAGGACGGTTGATTAGGCTCTGGCATTCGCAGGCCACGTAACCTGGTATGTGAGAAATGAGGCAGAGAAGAGTATATGTATGGGTGGGGGTTGTGGGGGGGTCAGACACCTCTTAAGGGAGGCGCCCCCTCTACTCCGACTGGACAACCCCCTCCCTCGACTCTCCTCCCCCCACTCACCTGAGAGCGGCGGCGACAGCTGCTGGTCCCCGTCCCCCTGCTCTCGCCTCATACTGTCCGCAACATCCGGGACCTGCGGGACCGCCGATACACAAATACACACACACTCGGAGCGCGCACACTCACACATACACACACATCCCGAGACACACCGGTCGGGGCGTCATGGCGTCAGCACGTCGACGCAGCGAGCGCGTACCCTCCGGGCCCCACCCCGCGCGGCCTCCTCCCCTTCCCCTTTCCTCTCCTGTCTCCTCCTTGGATCCGCCTCCCTAAGCCTCCGCCTACTTCCCGTAGTGCGCATGCTTCCTAGGTCTAGGGAACCGAGGGGAAGGAGGAGCCTGAGAAGAAAGAGGCGGGAACTCGGAAGGGGTCGCGTGCATTGAGGTGCGAGGACCTAATAGATGATGTCAAAAGCCATATGGTGTGGACAGCGTAATAATAAAGGTATTTAACATCAGAAATATTTGCAAGCGGTGTATGGATTGTCAGTGACTTTTACGTTATTAACTGTGACAGTAAACTACTTAAAAGTAGTAAACTATTTTTAAGGTGCTTACACTTTAGAATTTGAAAACAAACACAAGAAGAACAATTTTTGGGGGGAGAAGGTGGGGTGTATAGATGACCCAACTGAAAGGGAGCTGATTCAGTGGCAGTTAGTTATCTTGTACTCCAAGGGCCCCAGTGTGCCTCACCTGCCCCCCAGGGGCCGTCAGTGATTCCTGAGTTTAGTAATAGAAAAAAGGCAGAGAACATCTTGTCCCTGAGAGAAAAAACATCACCTCCCTGTTGAAGTAATAACATCAGTGCGAGGATATTTGTTGTTACTACGACTCTTTCCTCTAGCTTCCGTTTTAAAAATTATTCTTATTGAATCAAGCTAACTAATCCAGTGCACTATATGCAGGCACTCTTTTTTCTCTACTGAGATAGTATCATTACATAGATACACACATGACATTGGGCCCAAAAGAGCAACTCCATGACCCTGTGGGCCCTGCCTTGGGAACAACTTCCGGGAGCCCTGCTGCCTCTCTGGCCTATGGGACTGTCACCAGGAGACGGTGCTCACGGTTTCCTGCCACAGGCATCCTGGCGCCAAGTGGCTGGTAAGTTTGTTCAGCAGGGAAGGCCCAAAACCCATGAGCAAAGCTACAGGAGTTTAGAAAGAGCACCTGACTGTGCCAGGCTGTCCTCCACTTTCAAATACACAAGCATACCCTAAAACCTCACAGTTTAAAATTTCCTGGGAATCATGGACAAAACGTTCCTAACTCCTAGCACCTGTACATCCCGTATTTTGGCCAAAATGATCAAAAAAAGGAGATGCCAGATTTTACAATGATGTGATTACATCACCCACCTAAAAACAAAAAGAGCTTTTTGTCAACTGTTGGGCTGATGCTTGAAACTTTCCTATAAGATTCCGCTTATCATTATCAACAAACATTCATTATTTTTTTTTCCATCTTTATCACCTTTAGCAAACACACATCAGAAACTGTATCAACAGTGCATGTAATTCAGTTTACAGTAAAAGCAAACAAGGCAATTGTGTTTACAGAAAGAGTTTTTAGCAAAAATCTATACACAATACAGTCAACAGTAAAGCAGTGTTTATACTTTTAGATACTTAGAAAAGTGGAAAATAAAAGTTCTTTGCTACACAGCAAGAAAAAAAAAGTTTAAAAGGCTTGAATGGAAATCAGAAATTTGGGAATTTGAGAAAGGATTTTCTTAGTATTGACACACATTTATATTTATAGTCCCACTTAATTATTTAAAATGAAAATCCTCACAAGCAGTAAGACATCACCAAGAACAAAGAACCATACTACCAAGAAATGCCAAGACCAACATGCTATTGAAACAACTGATGGAAATGTTACAGACAACTTGTCAGTACATACTGTAATATTGTTGTGGTTTTGAGGTGAAGGTAAACCAACAGGAGAGAATACTCGTAACTGGTTTAAAGTTTATATCTGATCTTAAACCAAACATTCATTACTTTAGCTGAAGCTAGTAAGGTTTATGTCCTTGTGCCCAGAGATAATCCAGTAACTGGCTCCTGGGGGTGACACAGTTTACCTGTTCTCTGAACTTCAGATTTCACTGGGAGTCAGAGAAGAAAGAAGAGGGGTGTTCCTGGGAGAGAGGAGCATAAAGGTGCAAAGGGGTACAGAAAGAGGAAACTGGAGGCACAGGCAACAGACTTTGCCTACCTCCTAGTTGGGGCTGATCATTACAGGTTGTCCAGACTCTGCCCAGGATCTGGGAGGGGACTCCTGGGGCTAGTTAATCTGTGCCAGCAGCTTGCTGGGTTGGGCTTGAATCCCCAGTGATCTGGAGGGATGTGAGAGGTCCTGTCCCCATCTGTAGCCTGGTAGAATGACTACTGTGGGGACTATGCCACCCACCTGAGGTGTGATTCTACCACCCTGTGTACAAAGGACTTTGATATGGTGTGGAGCTGATTAAATGATTGTAGATGTCCTTGGAAGCACTGTGTGGAAGAATTTTAAACAGCTTCTCCTTCTTAATATGCACTTCCTCTTCGGTTTTAATTATTTTGTTCCTACATTTTCCCTTTCAATTTACTAAAATCTAGAAATGTAATTAGAGCAGAGCCTGGGCTCAGAGAAAGCTGCCAGGATTTCTACAGCGTGATTAAATACACCAGGCATCCCTTTAGTGTGGGACTGAAAAATAGGATTCTCATTATTATCTTTCCCTTATCCAGGAAAGAATCGGCACCACGTACAGATACGGATTTATTGAAAATGCAGCCCTAATTAAAAACTCACCCAGTCTCTTGACTAGGTCTTGAAAAAAATCAGTGTAGTTATTATTTCTTCCATTTGCTGTTTTGTTGTTGTAACCAGGACAAGGAAGAAGCACCCCAGTACACCCTCCTCTATCTTCAAAACAAAATTCTTTTCTCCTCATGAGGGACTTAATGAGGCTTTTATCTATGCAACAACAATAAAACTTAGAATGGCATCAGTTCAATTTGCAGCTCCTTGTGATGGTAGGAAACAAGCTGAACTCATTTTCTTCATTCAAAAGACAAACAACAAAGTGTTCATCGGCCATCATGGGCCAGGTCTGGGCACATGATCTATTCCAGAAGACACTGAGATGTTTGGTACATATTCTGCCAACAAGGATCTTCAGCTCCGTTTTCAGTCCAGTAAACAAAGGTGTGAGTCCCTGAGTGGTCAATTAACATACTCAGCTACTAACTGAAAGTTTGTCAGTTTCAACCCACACAGAGGTTCTTCAAAAGAAAGGCCTGACCATCTACTTTGGAAAATTACCCAATGCAAGCCCTATCACAACAGAACGTTGTCCAGTTTGCTTGCTTTGGACATCATCAGGAGGGATCAATCGCTAGAGGAGGACATGATGCTTGGTGAAATAAAGGGCCAGTGAGGGCATGGGAGAGCCTGATGAGATGAATTAGTATAATAACTACAATAGATTCGAACACGCGAGCTATTGTGAGGATGGCTCAGGACCAGGCAATGTTTTGTTCTGTTGTGCCTAAAGTTGCCAGGAGTTGGAGTAAACTCCATGACAGTTGATAATAACAACAGCAAATATTTATGGATGTGTTACCCAACATGGATTTCAGATAAGTGTTCATATACCCATTGGTCTTCAGACACCACTCTAATCTATGAGCCATGCTCAACCTTTATCTCTGTGCTTTGCTTTAGACTTCTTCAAGAAGTATGGAGTGGAGGACACAGTACAGACTTCTTAACCAGAACTAGCTAGCTAGTCTTAATTTCCTCACAGGTCAGTCAGGGTTTCTTCTGATCACAAGCAGCTATGCCAGCTCTGTATCAAACAGAACTAGAATCTACTGAGGAAATATTGCTGGCTCCCACAACGGACAAAAGCTGAAGAATCAGAGTTGGAAATTGGGCTGGAAACCAAGGTAGAGGGAGAAGGAACAACAATCTTCTTTAACAGGACAGTCTGGCCATGCGGTCCAGCTGCTGGGTCCTGTAGCAAAGTAAGACTACCAATGTGCTACTTCTGAGAAGCATGGCTCACCTTCCCTCCATCTTTTATCTCCTGCTACAAACCCAGAACCTAGGCAGCAACACACAGTTGGCCAATGCTAGGTATTATCCTGGGCTCTGAATACCTTGGCGGGGAGGGGAAGGTACCCTTGCTTTTGTGTCCACAGTGTAATGTGTGTCACTCCTTCTCACTAACACTATCCACAGCAGAGGATCTCCAAAAAGAAGCAACCCCCACCCAGAGCTTGAGAAGTAAGCACCATTCAAAAATGACTGGATTTGAGAATCTCTAAGGCCCCTTTCACTTGTGAAATTCTTTTACTCTAAACTGAAAACTCTCTGTGAAGAGGCCCTATATTTTCTATTTCTTTTGACTCATTCTATACTAGCCTGGTAGACTCTGTACCCGGGGAGCGTTTGGTAAGTGCTAGTTGACTGTTCACGGTGGCACAGACCTTCCATAATTGAATTTTAGATTAAATCCCTCTTCTAAAATAGAATTCTAGCATAGAGTAAACTTTCCATTGAAATCAATTCACCTTGATAAAGTGGAGTCATGGCAAGGATAATCCAAAATCGTAAATTCCCAAGTAATTTCTTTTTGAGTTAAGGAAAAAATATTTTTTTTGCTTAAACTCATAATTATGGACAATTAGGCAAATGTTATTTTATGGCAAATGTCAACAAGTGGTAGACCAAGCCCTTTCAGAATGGAACCAAAAAACAAAACACAAAGCACTGAAAACTATTCCTAACAGTGACTATAATCTATTTCTGATAATATATTCTTTATTGAAAATAAAATATTTACCCTCTAAGACTTATTTTGAAGCAATGGCTTGTAATTTTTGTTTATTTCTGATTGTTGACTTGTAATTTTTAAAGGTGAATGAGATGAAAATGTGTTCATTTTAGGCAGCATTACGATTCAGAGACAAATGCCAAGAAAAATAAAGACTCAAACCTGCCATTTCGTGTCCTCTCTTTGTCATTGCTCCTTCTTTGCCTGGGACTTCTTCCTTCAATTATCATGTCTCCCAGCCATTTTTCTAGAATTTCAGTATCTATAAGTATATTGGCCCTAGGGATTGGCCTCACGCCTAAGGCAGTCACCTGCCACACACAATGCTGTCGGTTTGAACCTGCCAGAGAGCCAGGACGTCTCTTTCGGGAACTCTGGTAGCATAGTGCCTAA